TCAAAACTTTACTAGTAAGACCAAAATTTTTTTTTTATTGCTTTATTGATACTCACTGTTATTTTATCAAGCATTTTTTTTTTCTTCTTTACAATTTCGATTACCTGTTAATACGTCGTCGTTTTACACTTCACCATTTTTAATTGGTAAACACAAACTTTAGTGTTAAACAATACAATTTGATGTTGAAACTAAAATTCTGAAGCAAACAATTATATCAATGTTTGGCTTCAAATATTTTTGCTAATAGTTCTGCTGCTTATCTATTGACTTTTGGTTTTTGTTTTGTTTTGATTTGTTTTGTTTTTTTTTTGTTTTTTTTTTTGTAGAATTTTGTTCTTTTTTCTTCTCTTTTTTTTTACGTATTCACTTTAAACTTTGTTCTTATTGTCTGAATCGTTCAGTATTATTATAGAAGTTCTATCAGCACTTGTCTGGTAAAAATTTTGGAAAACTGTTTATTGGTTTTAGATTTTTTAGCATAAAATATGGTTTCTTAAGCCATTTGAACCGCAAGCACTATAGATTAATTTTTCTGTGTCTTGATAGTTTTTATCAAATGATAATATTGGTAGTAAAGCATAGCAAAAACAGAAGAATTCTTTAGCCAATTTTTAATTAATATTTGAAATTATCAACAAACGTTATAGTGGATTGAAAAATAATTACCATAACTTTTTTACCTTCACTTTTCTTATTGTTTTATATATAATCTCAGTTTTGTTGTTGTTAACACTTTGGTACAGCAACTGAAAAGAAAATGAAGTCAGGAAGTTGGACAATAAGTATGTGAAAAATTGGAGTATTTAAACAGCATTTAAATGAACAGCTAAGAAAATTTTAAAAAGTTCAAGTTTTTTTTTATTTTTTCACTTTTGGTCTTGGAACAACCAAATATTTTTTTGATTTCTTTCTTTTGTTTTTTTGAGGTTTTTTTTTGTTTATTGTTGCTTAGTTCTTATTCGGTGAATAAGTGCCAGTCAGCATTAGCAGTAAATGCTTAGTTGTACCCGGGTTAACAGCATGGAATAGTTTTTACCTAATCAAGAAACTGATTATTTGCTTCTATTGACTACTGACTATCTGATTGTAAATTAGACGTCAATTTTGTCAGAAAAAAAAAAAAAAAAAAGGAACGACATTTAAGTGGCATTTTTATAATAGGCAATACAAACTGTGCTTTTGTTAGATAGCGGATTTTGATTATTGTTGTTAAATTATGACAGGTGGTTAACAAATAAAAAAAAAAAAAAAA